GGGCGGGCCAATGAGACCCGGGCGCTGGCCGGGCGGCACCTGCAGCAGCGCCGGGAGGCAGGATGTGCTCTGTGGAGCAAGCAGCCTGCATCTCAGGGCAGAGCCAGACCACAGCGCTGTAGCCGGCAGCGGCCGGAAAAGTGCCCGGAGCCGGCGTGGGACAAAAGGAGGAACCACGTGATGCAGGTGGAGGGGTTCTAATCTCGAGGGATGTTCTGAATGGAATCCTGCTCTTCCGTAACATTCAAAAGAGGCAACTTTCTTTTAAATACCTAAGCATCTGAAATGTACCAGATGGTTCATGCCATGGAAATTAGGTCATGTGATGACTTAAACTACAAAAAAAAATGCAGTGCTCAACTCCTACCATACCGAGTACGTCTAACAGAAACAGCAGTCATTTTTTATACATAGGGTCACAAAGTCCACAACCCGTCCTGACCTGTGACCTCACACAGCTGTTTTCTTCCAGACAAGCTAGTTACTACACGGTAAACCTTTATTTTTTATGCAGATTTCCCCCCAAATAAAATTTTGTACACATCAATTTTTGCCATAGATTCCATCATGTCTCCAATGTTTCTGAAGCATCAAACTAGAGCTTAGAATTTAAAGTGTTGTTCAAATTTAAACTGAATAACTTTTCATGTCATTAGCTTTTGAAAAAAACATAGTGAAAAATATTAATAGAAGTTTTAAAACATTTACTAAGATCTTATTGAAAATAAATTCTGGGTCACTAGTAACTCTTAAAAAGGTATGAATAGGTCATTTGTATGGTAATTTTTTAAAAATTAAAGTTATACTTTCATCTATCTTTTTTTTTGAGAGGTTTTTGCTATAGGGCGCGTGCGATCGCCAGACAGACAGAGAGAAACAGAGAGAAAGCGAGAAATCACCCCCCCAGGGGGGGTGGCCATGCTCCAATCCCTTCTCCTCCTTTCTCCTCTCAGGATCTTGGGCATGCACACACGCACCCAGCGTGAGTTTAAGCCACCCGGTCCAGGACTCGAACTGCGGTCGACTACGTGGGAGTCCAGCGACATAGCCATTACGCTAACTGCTGGTACCCTACTTTCATCTATCTTTAAAAAATAAAAACGTATGTCCTAAAACAAGAATCTTAAAAGTACAAACTATTCTTTTTTATTCCTCTCATTTAGCTCCTTTGCCTAGAAAGCTCTCATTTAGAGTTTGTATAGACCACATTTTGTGAGACATTAGTCAATTAATTCAAAGTGATTTTTATACATATATACATTCATATAGTATATTACATATCACGCAAATGCACACACACATATAATATTTTGTTACTGTTGTTTTGTTTCTCCCCTCCCAACCAAAATTGAGTTTTAGAGCCATGGGTCCATCTTCTTGACTCCTAGCATAGCATGGACATTTTTAAAACAAGGATTCAAAAAAATACAAATCATCCCTTCTTTAACTCTGGGACACAGGTGCTTAATTAAACCTAACAGGGTTTTCTTTAACAGTGATTAAATGGTTATTTTCTGCAACTAGTGTAGTAGCTAGCATGTGGGTATTCAATAAATATGTATTATAAGACATACAAGGAGTCTTCAAGAAGTTCATGGAAAATAAATCCATACTTTAATTCTCTTTTTCCATGAGCTTTTTGAAGTATGTCCATAGAATACATCTTAGTGACTTGAATTCCAAGTCACTAAGCTTTCTACAGGTGGGAATTTCAGGTACAGTGGCTGTCGGAAGGAAAGTAACCCTTGGGCAGCCTCCTGTGTTACCCAGGAGCAGACCTTCCATGCCAGGTGGATAGAAAAGAGGCTTGAGCATCTTCTCTTATGATTGAAGAGGGGCAGAATTTTGAAGTTAAATGCAACTTTTGCAAAATTGCCAAAAACTGCGACTTCATTAGAAATGAATAAATGATCAGGTATTTTATGAGTTCAAGTTATCCACTGGGAAACCAGATTCACCGTAAGATGAAAATTCAATTAAAAGGAGACAGAAAATACAAGAAAAAGCCCTGTCGCCAATTTTCACGTCGTCATCGGTCAGGATCTCTCCGCTCAGCACTCTGCTTCCTGTGTTTGTTTTATGTATACAATGAACCTCACACAGGACTGCATCATTAAATGAACAAGCGTTCTAAGTCACACAGCAAAGCTAACAAATCTCTACACTGGTGTTTAGAACTGGGAGGAGAAGATGCAACAAACTGAATAGCTCACTGGCCCGGGAGCCAGGAAGGCACAGGTGGCTGCTGACTGAGAGCTCACTGGGTGACTTCTGCGAGTCACTTACTTTCTTGGACCTTTAGGCTTCTCTTTTGTGCAATAAAGTAGACCAAAAGGTTCAAGGGAAAAGGTCATAGAAATAGGAACTAAAGATATGGGTTTGAGTCTTGTTTCAATCAGTTACTAGATTTAGGAACTCAAGACATCAGTTTAAAAAGTCAGTTTTCTTATTAGTAAAATGGAGATGATAAAATATCCCTCACAGGGTTGTTATAAAAAAATGATGCAAGTGGAACCAGCAGTTAGCGTAATGGCTATGTCGCTGGACTCCCACGTAGTCGACCACGGTTCGCGTCCCGGAGCCGGTGGCTTAGAACTCACGCTGGGCGCATGTGCGTGCGTGCCCAAGATCCCGAGAGGAGAATGGAGGAGAAGGGACTGCAGCGTGACCATCCCCCCTGGGGGGTGATTTCTCGCTTTCTGTCTCTATGTCTCTCTCTGTCTGTCTGGCGAGCGCACGCTCCCTATAGCGAAAATCTCTCAAAAAAAAAAAAAAAATGATGCAGGCCCAGCCTGGTGGTCCAGTTGTTGTAAACTGAACAGCAGTGCTGGAAGCCACAAGGCTGACGGCAGGTTTATGTCCCAAGGTGGACCTGAAACATACCACGCAGGCAGGAGATAAAGCGAGATGAGACCCTGTCCAGGTGCCTCCACTCCCTTTCTCTTTCTGTCATGCACAGTCACACACTCTCGGTCATGAATTAAATAAACTTAAAAAATTTTTAAACTTTGAAAACTATTTTTTAAAACTTAAGACAAGCAACTTTAGTAATAATAATTATTGTTATTCAGACTGGAGTTTTAAAAGTATTTTCTTTTTGATCCTAGCCATTCTAATTGGGGTTAAATGGTATCTCGTTGTAATTGTAAGTTGCGTTTCCCTTATGACAAGAGACTTTGAATATTTCTTCACATGCTTTTTTGGCCATTCATAAGTCTATTATTTGATTCAAAGTGAATGAATATAGAACACATGTTAAGCAAAGAGAGCCAGACTTTGAAAAACATACACTGTATATCCCCAGTCAGTATGGCTGCACTCTGTGGCAGAAACTGAAAGATCCAAAGGTAAGATAGTAAGAAGTATAGAAATCAGAGGCTGAAAGAGAAGGGAGTAGGTGATAAAGGGGAGGTGGGATAGACCAAGGAAAGACACATTTACCAGACAAAAAAAATGTCAAGTTCTCTGTTAAAAAAAGTTCTGTAATTTTTGCTTTATAAAAGTAATAAGATTTAAAACATACTTTCCATAACAGTATAGAAGAGTTTCTACAGTGAAAATCTGGATTTTGTAAAATGGAATTAAAAATAATTTCAAAATAAATATGTAATATATATTCTAACATATGTTTATATAAATAGTAATTTCAAAAATTAATCCAGTGCATTTTAATTTAATTAATAAGACACACAGTTAGTATAGACGATGTCTACAGTTGTAGGAGTAAACATAGACAGGGTATTTAAATTATCCTGTAAACCATACATAAATGCAAGGGATTGGTCATGTCAAGAAATTAAAGAAGGGGACCAGCAGTTAGCGTAATGGCTATGTCGCTGGACTCCCACATAGTCGACTGCGGTTTGAGTCCCAGGTCCGGTGGCTTAAACTCACGCCAGGTGCATGTGCGTGCGTGTCCAAGATCCCGAGAGGAGAATGGAGGAGAAGGGATTGTGGTGTGGCCATCCCCTCTGGGGGGTGATTTCTCGCTTTCTATCTCTCTGTCTCTCTCTCTGACTGTCTAGCGAGCGCACGTGCCCTATGGCAAAAAACTCTCCAAAAAAAACCTAGGGCAAAAAACCCTCCAAAAAAAAAAAAAAGAAAAGAAAACAAAATTAAAGAGGGATGGGTAAGTAGAAAGGTAAAGCAATCTTCTGAGGCCAACCCACATGGGAGGTCCCAGTCGATGTTCAGGGACCTCCCTAGAGGGGCAGGGCATGTACATGTCTCTCACCCAGGACTGGCTGAAGCTGGGTTTGGAGCATGATATGAAGACCCTGTTGGGGGAATCTGTCTTTTTGTCTGTCTATCTCTGTCTCTCTCACTCGTGGAAGAGAGAAATAAATTTTAAAAATTAAAGAATTGCATTTGGAGAAGGAGGTGGAGGGATTTTCTGTCCTCAAAAGACAATGCTTGAATCATCTGAGAATCGTACTATGATATTTGGTTTGGAAAAATAGTTTGCTGTTCTTACAAAAAAGTTAAAATAGAGCAGATGGAAGTATAAGCTAAAAGTCTATCTTTGGCACGGAGTAATAAGACTCCTTCCTCCCACTTTCCAAAATCCATGGTTCTATGAAC